TTAGCAAAAGATTCAATTGAGCCTTTCCACTTCATGTTAGCTAGAAACATTCGTCCGAGAAGACGCAATGAATCACTCTCCGGGAGGTTAGCATCGTTGTTGTTTATTTCATATACAGCATAATTTACATTGATTGTTCGACTTTCAAAATATGTTATTAAAATCACACGCAACCATTGCTGACTTCATCTTGTATATTACTCACTTTCTATGACTACCTGATAATCGAATTCATTTACTTGTTTAATCAGAGCAGGCGCGTTAATTTTGGCATATGTTGAATTCTTAATCAAATTAATTTTTCAAACGAGAAACTTAACTCGGCAAGAATCCCTAACTATATTAGAGCAACGGCCATTTTGGAAACAGAGAATTAAAAATAGTTATCTCTGCGCATGTGCAAAGAACAGTGTGCCATAGCCCTTTAGGTAGAGCCTCTGCTAGTTCGCACTCGCGGCACCTATGGACCTATGGTAATCAAAAACCGGTTGTCAATTAGTTCTTACTCTGCAATCGACGTCAGTATATTTAGTAGGTTCCCCTTTTCTCATATTAGCTGCTATCCGAACTGGTGTTTTCCTGTTATTTAACCCATAGCTGTGAGTCTCGTCGGAATAATTACCGCTTCCCAAATACATACTGAGATTTATTTTTAGACAATAAAAATGAGAGTGGTATCAGCAATATAAATAACACAAAAAATAACACCAAAAAATTATATTAAAATAAAATGGCACACCATGACAAAGACCTTCATATTAAAGTCACACAACATTATATTTTATATAATAAGGCCAGATCTGATCGGTCACGACTGCATGTTTCTACCGTGCTATTGCTCCTAGTCAGAAGGCATTAATCTTTTCATGATATAGACATACTAGCAGTAGCCCGGCGTTGCCCGGGGATGTAACAGTAAGAGATAGATCAAGTATCGACCGTCATAAAGACTGAAAAATAAAATTGACAAAGATTATTGTTTAAGGTTGACGGACACGCATGTCTTAATTAATTTTTTTTGGTTTTTGGTTTTTTAACGAATTGGTCAAACAAAAACATTGTTTTCAATTGTTATGAGTCTACCGATTAAATAGAATTTTATTATAAACAATTGTCTTGTAAATGGAATTTTTAAAGCATTCTGAATGTAAAAATAAAGAAAAAAAGTGTGCAAGGCAATAAGTAACACTACCTGCCAAAAAAAAGTGAAGTTTTGTTGAAATCGGTTTAAAAATGTAGAACAATGCGATCCGATATATAAACGAACAAACACACACACACACACACACACACACAACCTGGGTTTTATAATAAGTATAACTCGATATGAGTTGTCCCCCTTTCATTCTGGCGACAGAATCGTGTTTTATCGTGTTTTCAAATTGATTTCGTGTAAAAACAATTGTGTTTTTCCTATCTATGGTGCTGTCAGAACCACCGGAAGGTAATTTTACGTAGTCCTGTGAAGTTTTGATGAAATCGGTTGAAAAATGTAGGAAATCCGATCCAATATATAAACGTACACACACACACACACACACACACACAATCAATCGTTTTATAATAAGTAAGATATATTAGTTGCTTGGTATCTGGGGGCACATAAGGCTTCTGGTGATGTTTCTCTCATAGAATTCTTCCACGAGGTGTGGTGAATGGTTCCACGCCCAAAGATTTTATGATACAATGCTTCCTTTCGTTTCTCACTGTCACGCGCGCACACACACACACACACACACACACACACATATATATATATATATATATATATATATATTCTACTAATAGTAATACTGAGTTGGAAAAAAACTTCGGATAGCAGAACTTGTAAGTATATCAAAACAAACTGATACCAGGGGAAAAGAAAAATTGAAAAAAGAAGAAAGAACTAGAAACATCCGAACAAGGGGAAACAAATCGCCCAGTGCCATAAGAGTTTAGTCCAAAGAAAAATAATACAAGCGTGTAATAAAGATACATCTTAGAGGGTAAGCTAAGATATATATATATATATATATATATATATATATATATATATATATATATAATAAAAAGGCTTAAACACTAATATTCCATGGTCATAATTTATTCCATTGGAATCCTAAAGGTGGGGGATTAAAATTTAACAGAGAGAAGTTTTAAAGAGGTGAGTCAAAGACGGTTTAAGTGAGAGAAATATGAATGTTGTCGGATGTCTAATACATTAAAGATGTAACCGGAAAGGATACATTTCCCCCCCTCCACCTTCTCTCGTCTGTTACCCCTCTCTATAGATCTAACATTCGTCCCACACTCCCATTCTTACACTCTCTCTAAATTTTATTTTTTATTCCCGGAGTTGTTTTTTCTGTTTTCTTTTTGAATTTGTAGGTCTGATTAATTGGATCGTATTTATGATTCCAATGGAATAAATTATGACCATGGAATATTAGTGTTTAAGCCTTTTTTTATTATATCCTTACTCTGTCCTGGACATTGAGTTCTACCTGGATTCTATCCTCTTGAATTTTTTTAATAATAAAAATATATATATATTTTTGCATGTGTATGTGTATATTTACCACTAATATATATATATATATATATATATATATATATATATATATATATATATATATATATATATATATATATTAAGAGCAAACAACCAATACTAAATAAGTTTAGTTATCATCATAGCAATAATGTTATAAAATGTTTATAATAGCAATGATTTTAAAAATGTTTTAAAATGTGTTTGTACAAAAGTTTACAATCATACAGAGATCAAAACCTGAAAACGCTGAATAGCTACAACAGTTAATTGTAAAACAATTATAACGGAGCGCGTTCATGCGTGTTTGCAAAAAAATCACAACTATCACTTACATTAATTTTTTGTCTTAGCAATTAACCCTTGAAGATGATCTCGGATGAGATTGAAAGTACTAGAAAAATAAAAATGAAAATAATAGAAATTAAAATAAAACTACGGCGCTTCCCTTAATGTTTTTAACATCAACATTAAGAAGTCGATCAGAGGATCCAAGAGGATTAAAATAAAAATAAATATGCATAATATATCTAGATTATTCAACCAAACACGCTTGAATGAAGATATTTTGCCTACACACACACACACACACACACACACACACACACACACACACACACACATACATATATATATATATATATATATATATATATATATATATATATATATATATAGGGTGTAACAGTAAAATTGTCCAAATTATGTGACATCAAAATTTTCCAATATTATATTAAGCTTTGAACCGTTGTATCTCAGAAATGATTAAAGATATCTTATTGGAATTCTCGAGGTTTTTATAACACTTTGACCAATAAGAATGTACAATTACTCTCCAAGCTTAACAGAAGAACCTTGATGGAATCGATCATAAACGAAAAATGACATATTCATCATTAATTAATCATAGTTAAGGATCGAAAGCTCATGACGTTCATATATATATATATATATATATATATATGTTGAAACTTGACTAATGCATGGAATAATAATGCAACACAAAATGTACTTAGAACAAAATGTATTGAAACAAGAAAGTGTACACAATATTTACATATAGTCTTTTGTATATTCCTGGGAAGACCGTTCCTGGAGAATGTGTTGACTTAGTCGCAGTCGGGCAGAGTCTCTGGATTGAATCTCTTGATTCCTTTCTCTCGTCTTCCCGGTACCAACCATATTTATATGGTCCGTACTCCACTATGTAAATTAGGTGGATCCTACCACAACAATATATATATATATACATATATTATTTCAGGGTAATTTTCCAACTTATTCAAGATGTCTTCGCCCTCTCTAACCTTCTAACGTTCTGTCCTGTATGTATTTATGTTATGTGTGTGTATGCGTGTGGTCAGTCTAGTGTGTTGGTTTTTGCCAGTATGTGTATATATATTCCTTCCCCATAGATATTTGTGTGTGTGTTTGTTTGTGTGTACGTGTGTGTGTATGTGTGTGTGTGTGTTCCGACTAGTATATTCGGCCATTATGTGTGTATGCTGTGGGTTTATGTGTGTGAAGTGTTTAGTGATGGTTTAAATTTACCTTTGAAGTTTTTTTCTAGTAAGAATAATTGTCTGCTTGTTATATTCGCACAATTTTACATTTACCTTGATTACATTTATAGATGTGTTGTGATACAAAGAGTTCTTCGTTGTCTGGTTATTTGTTGTTGCACTTGTGCAGGGTAACCCCGTATCAGCTAATCAATAAACAACAGAGATTTAGATAGATAGATAGTAATATTAAATAATCTTCTCAAGTTCATATTCTGTTATCACACTTTCCAGTATTGATGGGCATTTCCTTCCTAATTTTTTATTCGAAGTAGTGTGGGATATCAACATCTTAAATATATTATTTTCCCTTCGAATTACATGTGCTGTACTAATAGATAGATAGATATGAAGAGACAAGCATAGATAGATAGACAGATAGATATGCACAAACTGGTATGCATATATATATATATATATATATATATATATATATATATATATATATATAAAAAAAAAATATAGTCTTAAGGTATGCTATATTTATGGCATAAAGTGCTCAATATCAGAGATAGAGCGTGTAAATATATAAAAGTAAACATAGAAGTCAACACTTAGAGGCGACAGTCTGTTTCATGCTATATATATGCAATCGTCATACATATGCTGTTATTTTTCTCGGCTATTTATATATATACGGGTTAGTGGTGCATTGTGGGTAATAGCCGAGAAAATAACAGCATATGTGGCCTGATGATTGCATATAGCATGAAACAGACTGTGCCTTGTTGACTTATGTTCACTTTTATATATATATATATATATATATATATATATATATATATATATATATATTGTTCAAGAATATATTGTTAAACATAACAGACAACAAATGTCTATTATGTTTTATCCTGACCTTTTCCAAGCGTCGTATAATGGCTTTAGCTTCTAGAGAAAATAAAGACAAAAATTGTACAACATAGATAGATAGAGGAAAGGCTGAGATCGAGGAAGAGATTTCCTAAGAGAATTAGATGGATAGATAGATAGATCGATAGATAGATACATAGATAGATATGAAAGATTCAGATTGGGGAATAGCGAAACCTTTGAAACTCTGGACTTGGTGTGCTGAATATAACATCTATCAAACTAAGGGACTAATTTTATATTTGTATTAATCCTATATATATATATATATATATATGTGTGTGTGTGTGTCTGTGTTTGTGTTTGTGTTTGTGTTGAGAGAGGCAGTGATTGAGAGAGAAAGATAACGTACACAGAAACAATGCGACATAAATAAAATTGTAAGTGTTAATTTTCAATTTCACAACTGATTAGAAATATGGGCTGTCCTTTCACATGTTATCACATGTCGTTTTCACATGTCGTTTTCACATGTCGTCTTCACATGTCGCTATTACGGAGGCAGCCCGAAACCAACAAATCAATTCATCTTTGCAGCTCTGTACACCTACCGAAATAAACACGCGTGTGTGGAAGCCAGTGTCTACAAAGACCGCCTGACCAGTCAGGTGTATATTAATACGGCTAACAAAGATGGGGTCATTTGAATTAGCCCCGGCCCGCGAATCGCAACCGAGTGTTATTTGCTGGGGCGAAGCAAGTAATCTGTCGGAATACACGGCATTCAAACGGCTCTTCTTTATTTCCAGAACTTTGGCACGCATCTTCTCTTTCACTAAATATTCGGGCATTTTACGAAGAGAGAGCGAAAAACAAAAAAAAAAAAAATGGAGATTTCTAAAAGCGAGAAGAGGAGGAAAGTAACTCTTTGTTTCGACTTCCGTTTTGACTTTTCTCTCTTTCCGTACTCTCTTTCCATCCAAGCTGAATTACCCGCCAACTTCGTCATTTGATTTCACGGCTTTTGAGGGAATTTTTGACCCCACCCACCAACGCTTTAGTGATACCTAACCCTAACCCTTGTCCACATATGCCGTGCACAGATAAAGGGTCATTTGGCAGGGGTCCATTTCAAACAAAAGTTTTGCAATGGGAAGAGCTCTGGCTGTTGAGCGCCTGGCCAAGCACGGCCGAGAGCCTACTGAGGCTATTCTGTGTAATTAGTTACGGACGCAAGACGGGCCCCTTAAATGTTGCTGGAGATTGGAGTTGGCTGCGCCAACATCCCCCAAGTGACAGTGACTGATGACCATCTCAGTTATTGACATTTGGGTGAGTTAGATGCGATTCTATTGCATTAGACAACCTTCAAGGAAAACCGGGACATTACCAGCCACCGCCATCCTTACCTCAACCACGACTGAGTTCGCCTGTCTCTCTGCTTTAATACATTAATAGGGTGATCCGATTGAGGAGAGGCTATAAGGGAGTGTCCGGGAAGCAGGGGTAACGTGCGATTTCGAAATAAAGCAGTTGTCGTGTCGCGGGGTATGGCATGAGAAGAAGAAAAAAAAAAGAAAAAAAAAAGAAGAAACCTTAAATCGGGAAAAAGATGTTCGATCATCTGAGAAAGAGAGAAAAGAGTAATGAAGAAGAGGAAATGGTCAGGGGAATGAGGAAGGAAGGTAGAAAGGAGAGGGGGAGGAAGAGGAGAGCAGAAGGCGAGGAAATAATAATGAATTAAGAAAATCACGAGAGATAAAAAAAAAGAAGAGTTGGAGAAAATTATGGAAGAAGTAGTTCTCGGCAAACAGAGGAGAAGAAAAGGAAGAAAAAAAAAAGAAGAAGAAAGAACAACAAAGAAGAAGAAGGAGAAGAAGAAGAAGAAGCTAGGAGAGGATGGAGAAAGTAATAATGAAGAACAAGCAGGATGAGAGATAAATCAAGGGGGAATGGGGTGAAGGAGGAGGAGGAAGAAGAAGACGAGAAGGGTTTAATGAAGTAAAAGAAATGCATGAGAGATGGAAGAGGCAAATAAGAAGAAGAAGAAGAAGAAGAAGAAGTATTAGAAATATTATTGCAAGAGAATACATGGATGATAAAGAAGGGAAGAGGAAAAAGTAGGAAAAAGAGGAGGACGACGAGAAGAGAAAGGAGAGGAAAAAGGATTGGTGCAAGAGAAGAAGAAATAGACGCAAGAGAAGAAGAAGAAGAAGAAGAAGAAGAAGAAGAAGAAGAAGAAGAAGAAGAAGAAGAAGAAAGATTGCTGCAAGAGAAGAGGGAGAAGAAGAGGGAGAAGAAGAATGACGGAGAAAAGATAAAGAATATTTGCAAGAGTAAAAGGAATAGACGTAGAGAGAAGAACAAGTAAATGGCGAAGAAGAAAAAGAAGAAGAAGACGAAAAGGAAGTAGTAGAAATATTATTGCAAGAGAATACATAGATGATAAAGAAGGGAAGAGGAAAAAGAAGGAAAAGGACGACGAGAAGAGAAAGGAGAAGGAGAAAGATTGGTGCAAGAAGAAGAAGAAGAAGAAGAAGAAGAAGAAGAAGAAGAAGAAAAGAGAAAGATTGCTGCAAGAGAAGAAGAGGGAGAAGAAGAGGAAGGAAATGACGGAGAAAAGAAAAAGACTATTTGCAAGAGTAAAAGCAATAGACGTAGAGAGAAGAAGAAGTAAATGGTGAAGAAGAAGAAGAAGAAGAAGAAGAAGAAGAAGAAGAAAAGAAGAAGAAGAAGAAGAAAAGAGAAAGATTGCTGCAAGAGAAGAAGAGGGAGAAGAGGAGGAAGGAAATGACGGAGAAAAGAAAAAGACTGCAAGAATAAAAGGAATAGACGTAAAGAGAAGAATAAGTAAATGGTGAAGAAGAAGAAGAAGAAGAAGAAGAAGAAGAAGAAGAAATAGTTGCAAGAAAAAAACGAAATAGACGTGAGAGGAGAAGAAAGGATAATAAAAAGAAAAGGAGTAGAAAAAAAGAAGAAAAAGAAGAAGGAAGATTGTTGTTAAAGAAGAAGAAATGAGGAAGAAGTATAAATATTCTTACAAGAGAAGAAGAAATAGATGATAGAGAAGAAGAGAAAGCAAAAGAAGAAGAAGAAAAAGTAGTAAAAGAAAAAGAAATTAAAGATGGAGGAAAAAGAAGCAATAGATATGCGAAGCGGATCTGTTTAAAGTAAAAGAGTAGAAATTAAACGAGAAAAGAAAAACAAAATGGAGACATTTAGTTAAGAAGTCGTGAATGCTATGGAAAGAAAAAAAAAAAGATAGATGAGGAAAACCGAAAAGGTTTAGTCTATCCAAGATGGATGTCAGTGGATTTGAAATGATCGAAAATTTCGCTCAAGTGAAACGCGGGGAAGGAGACGAAAGAACTCACGAAGGTTTTAAGAGAAAAATCGAAACAAATAGCAGGATTGAGGAGGTTGCGTGAGCGGCCGGGGCGAACGACGTAGATACAGAAGAGAGGGTCGTTTAATCCAATTTACTCGCCGTAAACTCGTGCCGGGGTCGGCCCCGAAATTTCTGACTTGAGGATTCTGGGAACGTATTTTTATTAACGCCACGTCTAACCCTGCCAACGCCCAGACGCCACCCCAAAACATCCTTCCCGGCCACTTCCAAAGTAATAAGCGTGCATATTCGAATCACGTCGACTACAACGCATCGGAAGTTGAATTAAAAAAAATAAAAGAAGAGGAAAGGAAAGATAACTGACGTGGGGAGGGGAGAGCGAAAAGAGCGGGCAAATAGATAAGACAGCAATACCCTGTTGCATGCTGTCTCGTGACTGGATGGCGACACTCGTTGCTTCCAGCCATGCCTTCTGATTAGGCGACATTGACTAATTCTATTAGGTGTTAATGGAAAAGGACGTTTTTTAGCGCTTGTATATCTTGCTTATTATTATTATTTCTTTTATTTTCTTTAACTATTTTTAATGATTTTACCAGTAAGTAAATCGATCTTAATAATAATAATAATAATAATAATAATAATAATAAAAACAACAATTTGGAGAATTTGGACGGCAAAGGAGAGTTAGGGTCAATTCGACGGTTGCGAATATTCAGCGAATACAGATAACATTCATTTGAATTATTATTTCATTCGCTGTGATATTATTATTATTATTATTATTATTATTATTATTATTATTATTATTATTATTATTATTGCTGTTGTTGTTGTTGTTGCGTTTTATTTTATTATCATTTATTTTGCATTAGGACGCGATTTATGGCATGAAATTTTAAACAACTTTAAATTAATTATATTTCGAGACGGTCTTCAATGTTTTATTACGCCCTCTTCACTTTTTCTTCGTGCTCCTCAATTATTTTGTCACATTTTCTTTTTTCTCCCTTTCTTCTTTTCTTTTTCTTCTTCTTTTTCTTCCTTCTTCTTCTTTTGTTGCATTACAGCATTTTTCTTCTTAGATCTATTCTACTTCTTCCTTTTTACTTCTTCTTTTTTTTTTTTTTTTCTTTTTTTGTCTTATTCTTCTTCTTTAGATTCTTCTGCCTCTTTTACTTTTTAATCCTCCTTCTTTTCTTCTTCTTTAATCAGTTCTTCTTCTTCTTCTTCTTTGTCTTCTTCTCCTTCTTCTTCTTCTTCTTCTTGTGTGCATTACAGCATTTTCTTCTCTCGCCATAGATCGTATTCTACTTCTTCCTCTTTTACTTCTTCTTCCTTTTTTTTCTTTTTTTCTTCTTCTTTTGTCACTTATTCCAGTTCTTCTTTAGATTCTTCTGCCTCTTTTACTTCTTTAATCACTTCCTTCGGTTTTTCTTCTTCTTTAATCAGTTCTTCTTCTTCGTCTTCTTTGTCTTCTTCTCCTTCTTCTTCTTCTTCTTCTTCTTCGTCTTCTTCTTCTTCTTCTTCTTTAGTCACTTCTTCCACTCTTTCTTCTTTTTTAGTTACTTCTTTTATTTTTCTTCTTTACTACGTGCGTTTTACCTCCTTAACTCCAAATTTTCGCTATTCTTCTTCTCCCTGAACGTCCATTGTCATTAGTCACTTCTTCTCTTTCTTTAGTCCCTTCTTCTTCTTCTTCTTCTTCTTCTTCTTCTTCTTTTTTCATTTCTTTTTCCTTTACTACACATAAAATATTCTAACTCCATCTTCAACGACGAATTTTTACAAGGATTTTTAAAGTTTCTCCTCCTACTACACACACTTTATCTACAGCTTCTTCATCGCAACACCACTTTCTCCTCCAACTACTTCCTTTTCTCTTACAAGTAACGACGTCCTAGTCGCAAACCAGAGAAAATTGCTTTGCAACTTCCATTTAAGTCATCAACCGATTGATTAACAAGTGGATGAAGGTGCTCGTTCCTTGAAATCATAAACTCAGCCATGGATTATTTGGACTGAAAAGTGAACGAAAGAAGAAAGCACGTAATCTTTCTATTCGAAGGAGGATCTAGTTACAAAAGAGTGAAAACAGTTTTGTACTTTCAGCTTAAAGCATCAACCAATTGATTAACAAGAAGTCGAGGCTTTCATTTTTGTAAATCATACACTCAACCTCGATATGGATTGAAAGGAGAACGAGAGAAGAGAGAGACATGAACATGTAACTGTTCTGTTAAAACGACGAGGAATGAATTTTCTAGCCACATAACAGTGAAAACTGTTTTATACTTTCAGTTTAAAGCATCAACCAATTGCATCAAAAGCATCAAAGAAGCGGTTGAGGCTTCTCGTTCCTTTAAATCAGAAATTCAAACTTGATTTTTTCGGAATGAAAGGAGAACGAAAGAAGCGAGCACGTAATCATTCTATTCAAAGGACGTTCTAGTTACAAAAGAGTGAAGACTGTTTTGTACTTTCAGTTTAAAGCAGTGGTTCTCAACCGGGGTCTACATGGACCCTAGGGGTCCATGTAATATTTCCGGGGGTCCACAGGCAAAACACAATTGTTGTGTTAATTAAAAATAGTAATAATAATTATTATTATAATTATAGTAGAATATTTTATTTGTATTAAATTAGTTTTCATTTAAAAATAAAGCTTAATCGTATACTATTTCTTTGATAATTAAAACCTTAAAATTTATATTAGTGAAGAATAGAAAATTGTTCTTATGTCCAATAGCTATGAAGGGGTCTACCAAGATAAAAAGAAGGGGAAAGGGGTCCATGGGTAAAAAAAGGTTGAGAACCACTGGTTTAAAGCATCAACCATTTGACTAAGAAGTTGAGACTGTCATTCCTGTAAATCGTAAACTCATCTTCAATTTATATGGACTGAAAGAAGAACAAAATGAGAAGAGATCACGTAATCATTCTATTCAAAGGACGTTCTAGTTACAAAAGAGTGAAAACTGTTTTGTACTTTCAATTTAAAATATCAGGTTGTGGCTACCATTCCTGCGCATCGTGAAGTCATTCACGATTTATATCGATAGAAAAGAGAACGAGAGAAGAAAAGAAAAGAGTCATGAACATGTAACCGTTCTGTTAGAACGATGTAGAATGACATTCTAATAAAAAAACCCACAGAAAATCTGACAAAAATACGACGTAAGAATGTCGTTTTTGACCTTAAAAAATACGTCAAAAAACGACATTATTGCGTCATTATTTTTGCACCAACCTAATACTTTCAGTTTAAAGCCTCAACAAATTGAATCAAGAGCATCAAAAGGAAGAAAACGATTGAACGTCCAAGGAATCCACGTCACCTGAACTCAATGTATATTATAAGATGCATACCCGGGCAACCTTTCTTTACTACTATACCCCTTTCAAACAAATTGTATTGAACAAAGTCGATCATTATTAGCATCTACAAGATCTCCTGTTTATCGCCAGTTATTATTTCTATTGTAGGACATTTGGTCTGACCCTTCGTTGTTTTTATCTCTCTTTCTATGCGAGAAGGTCGAAATTTTGTTATGTTAGTTTCCTTGATCTCTGTAGGATAAGAGAATTTAAATAAAGTCAATATAGATAGCAAAAACACTTACAAATAAACTTTCGAGATTGCTTGGTTGACCACAAAGAAATGCAGTTTTTTGTACACTCAAGAACGTTCATTATTTCCACAAAACCGTGAAAGGCTTTTATGTTGTTAGAAAGGTTTTGTATAAACGATCGAGCAATTTATTAGTTTTAAATATTAGCTCCGTTACTATTGGAAGGGTGAGTAATGACGTTCTCAGGAGAAAAAAATGAAATCCATTTTGAAACTTCAGTTTAAAGCACCAACCAATTGGTTAGGAAATGGAATCGGTTGCTCATTCCTGCAAATCATAAAAGCAAGCTCGATTCATATGGACTGAAAGGAGTACGAAAGAATGTAATGTAAGCGTTTTATTCAAAGAACGTTCTAGTGGCAAAAGAATGAAAACTGTTTTGTACTTTTAATTTAAAGCATCAGGATGAGACTACCATTCCTGTACATCGTGAGCTCATCCTCGTTTTATATCAATGGAAAAGAGAACGAGAGAAGAACAGAAAAGGGCCATGAACATGTAACCCTTCTGTTAGAACGGGGGAGAATATTGTTCTAATGAAAAACCACCGAAAACTATTTTCTACTTTCTGTTTAAAGCAGCTAAAAATAGTAGTAGTAGTAGTCGTAGTAGTAGTAGTAGAAGAAGAAGAAGAAGAAGAAGAAGTGAAAAAGCAAAAGACGAAGAAGAAGAAAAAGAAGAAGAAGAAGAAAAAGAAGAAGAACAAGCAGAAGAAGAAGGAGGAGAAGGAGGTGAAGAAGAAGAAGAAGAAGAAAAAGCAGAAGAAGAAAAGGAGAAGAAGAAGAAGGAGAAGAAGAAGAAGAAGAAGAAGAAGAAGAAGAAGAAGAAGAAGAAGAAGAAGAAGGAGAAGAAGAAGGAGAAGAAGAAGAAAAAGAAGAAGAAGAAAAAGCAGAAGAAGAAAAGGAGAAGAAGAAGAAGAAGAAGAAGAAAAAGCAGAAGAAGAAGAAGAAGAAAAAGCAGAAGAAGAAAAGGAGAAGAAGAAGAAGGAAGAAGAAGAAGAAGAAGAAGAAGAAGAAAAAAAAAGAAGAAGAAAAAAAATGAAGAAGAAGAAGAAGATGAAAAGAAGAAAAGAAGAAGAAGGAGAAGGAGAAGAAGAAGAAAAGAAGAAGAAGAAGAAGGAAGAAGAAGGAGAAGAAGAAGAAGAAGGAGGAAGAAGGAGGAGGAGGAAGAAGAAGAAGAAGAAGGAGAGGAAGAAGGAGAAAAAGAAGAAGAAGAAAAGGATAAGAAGAAAAGGAGAAGAAGAAGAAGAAGAAGAAGAAGAAGAAGAAGGAGAAGAAGAAGAAAAAAGAGAAGAAGAAGAAGAAGAAGAAAAGAAGAAGAAGAAGAAGAAAAAAAGAAGAAGAAGAAGAAGATGAAGAAGAAGAAAAAGCAGAAGAAGGAGAAGGAGAAGAAGAAGAAAAAGTAGAAGAAGAAGGAGAAGAGGAGGAAGAAGGAGAAGGAGGTGAAGAAGAAGAAGAAGAAGAAGAAGAAGAAGAAAAGAAGAAGAAGAAGAAGAAGAAGAAGCAGAAGAAGAAAAGGAGAAGAAGAAGGAGAAGAAGAAGAAGGAGAAGAAGAAGAAGAAGAAGAAGAAGAAGAAGAAGAAAAAGCAAAAGAAGAAGAAAAAGAAAAAGCAGAAGAAGAAGGAGAAGAAGATGCAGAAGGAGGAGGAGAAGTAGAAGAAGAAAGAAAGAAAGAAAGAAAGAAAGAAAGACAGAAAGAAAAAGTAGAAGAAGGTAGTCTTTTGTCTTAAATATTTTTGAAAGCATAATTTGCAAAAACTCTTTTAAATAAGGCCTCATTTTACAACTTTGGACGTTTTAATCTTACCCTAATCCACTAAATGCCTTTTTGTGTCTTCCTACCTGCACCCCTACCT